ATATCCAAATAATGCCAATTACAAATTTACTCCAATGTTTTGAGAAATGCGATGACCCGCTAATGCACCATCTAGCTAGCTCTACTTAGCAGGTATAACTGCAGCCATTGTGTGCCATTCATATTATCACATTCACTAACCTATGGACTACGTGATAAGATTTACGATGTGGTGGTTCACGTAATAAAATGGTTATGTTACATAGTAATAGAGACTCAAAGCCTCTTTCACCATAAATTTTACTCTCTATACAACTCGTGAGAGGGAAGTGGCAGCTACTATTATGAATGAATGAAGAACGAACGACTGGTGACATCACATGTAAACATTCATTGATGATAAGGTCCCTGTGTAGTAATGGTGAATTTCTCTGACCAAACGTTAGTCTGCAGTGTTTACACATCACCGTTTGGTATCGGCTCAGCTCACTTGGAACCTCAGAGGTGATACCAAAAATAGTGCCAAGTACTGGGTACTATCCCCAACACTTCACTGATGGAAAAATAAATAAGGCGAGTCGAGTTGAGTTGATTCGGTACCAGGTGGTGGAAATGGTGCTTAAGACACTTTATGTTGGATTTTCATTTAATTTGTCACCATCTGTATCTATAAATAAAAGTTCACACACATTAACATAAACCAGTTCATGAGAGCCCTGCACAAAAATTCCTATATGCCTAGACTGTCTATGTATAAATGGCAAATGAAAATTTTGAATGTTCATAGCTCACATTTTTAAATTTAGAACTAAGTTGACAGTTGCACCTAATGAGCTAGTTCATGCTCATTTCCTCTGTTTTTGTTTTTTTAAACAAGCTTCTTTGAGTAGTAGAAAACATTTTTACTCCACTGCATGTGTTTAATAACTATAGTTACAAATTAATTGTCAGATCGGATTAATAATTCAAAATTCAGTGTGTTACACATGCTGAATGATGAGGTTTTTCTTCATGTGCCAGCTGAGTGTAATAGGTTTTCCATCCATTATCTATACCACTTATTCCTGAATAGGGTCGCAGGGGGCTGGAGCCAATCCCAGGTGACAATGGGTGAGAGGTGGGGTCCACCCTGGACAGGTCACCAGTCTATCACAGGGCTGACACTTAGAGACAGACAACCACACACACTCACACTCACTCCTAGGGGTAATTTAGAGTCACCAGTCAATGGAGAGAACCCACGCAGGCACAGGGACAACATGCAAACTGCACACAAAAAGGCACCAGATTGGCTTGTACCTGGAACCTTCTAACTGCAAAACATAGCACAGAGCAGGCCAAAATGAGCACAGGTTGCTATTTTGGCTGCTAACAATCCCGCTTTTTTAGTGCCAGTTACACACATAACAAAGTTACTACTGCCACCTACTCTGATTCTCATGTGAGTCACTTCATGCTCTTGAGCTCAGAATATTAGTAATATTAGAAACTGAGTGGACAAAAAGCCTTTTCTACTCATATTGACCACCCTGCATATTAATGGAATTAAAGAGTCCATTGCATGATTTTCCTGTTTTTCTGACTTCTCTACAATGTTACAATGGTGAATTCTCATCTTAGACGTGACCTAAAACCTATTTTCTAATATTTATATGAAAAAGCATCTTAGTTTATACACGTCTTGCAAACTCTCGCTTGCAAGACTTTTTTTTTTAACAAAATAAAACAGGATTTCCTTGAAAGGTCGTAAAATCCAGGCCGTTATGTGTTCATGTGATCTTGCGTGACATCCACCGGTGCCCCCACCATATTGGCAAAATGTTACATTGCCTTGTTTGTTATGTATATTTTCAATAAAGGTTGTTTAAAAAAAGACATCCACCAGTGCCATTGTAAAAGCGCAATTTTTCAACTGCTCCTGGTTTTGTGGATATATTTTCCCTCCTGCTGCTGCACTGTGACCTTTCTCTGCGGAGTTTGCACGTTCTCCTCGTGCTTGTGTGGGTTCTCTCCGGGTACTCCAGCTTCCTCCCACAGTCCAAAGACATGCAGCTTAGGTTGATTGGTGACTCTAAATTGCCTGTAGGAGTGAATGTGTGCGTATGAGTGGTTGTTCGTCTGCGTGTTGGCTCTGCGATGGACTGGCGACCTGTAGTAGTACTGTTATCATCATTATTATTGCCATTTTTTTTATTTACTTCCCCTCCTTTCCCTTACTTGCATTTCATAGAGTGCATAAGTTGGAAATACCCACACTTCACACACTACAACTTGTTAAACACTCTATATCCTTTTGTAATGTCATGTAACTGTTGTCTTGTCTCCCATGTTCGGTACTGTTTTGTTAATGTGTTACTTTGTTTCAATAAAAAAAAAAAAAAGGACTGGCGACCTGTTCAGGGTGTACTCTGCCTTTCGTCTGATGCCAGCTGGGATTGGTTCCTGCGACCCTGTTTGGGACTAAATGATATAGAGAATGAGATGAGAGAGAGGTTACTGCATATCTGGGAATGCTCCTGTACAGGGACTCACTATTTTATCTGACCAGGTCTAACCTACAATCAGCCAGCCAGTGAAAACCCCGCAGTGGTGAATGATCAGTTCATCACGGCTGGATTCTCCTGGAGCACAGTTTAGAGTGTTACACATCTCTTTTCATCAGTACATATACCGTTGTTTACCTATCTGTGGAGGAGAAATTCATATTAATTAATGCCGTTGCGGTTCATTTTGCTGTCCACTTGCAACACAACACCAGCAAATAAAGTTGTGCATGTCCATTAACTATGCTTTCTTTTTTAAGAAGAGGCTCTCTGGTTTTATCATTCTGAAATAATCACAGACAATTTGGAGTTATGAGGGGCGCCAAGCTAATCTAGAGGTACCCAAGATCTAGCATGAAATGGCTGGAAATGAGCAAAATGAGCAGCCATGGGCTCTTTAATGTTCGTGCTCTCTATTTGCAAACTGAGCTGCTCACTTGACTGAAAAATTAGAGCCTCTTTTACTGCATTTATGTCCAAGACTGGTTTTAGATAACATATGTGTGACTGTGTCACTCATAAAATGTGTTTCAACATGCAACATTCTATGTGCGTGTCTATATGTGTCTGTGCTGGTGTGGTCAGTGAAGTCATAATTGAGATAATGCAATAGAGTAGAGCCATTTCCTGTTCCACCCTGCATAAACCCTACAAACACACTTAAGCTTCCTCTGTATCTAGTCCCATACCTCTGTTTTCACACTCACACAGTGATTCGGATCAGTTTTCAGGCAGCTTGGCCTGTTGGACAAGACTGCCACTGAAAGATGAGACTTAAAATGATCCTTTGACTTAAGATTTTCAAAAGAGTGTGATTCATGCCTACACATAAACACATAGTTGGAGAGGGTAAATATCTTAGTAATTATATCATATGAGCTTAAAACAGAACTTTCAGTTATTGTTTTTGAGTTTTTATTCCCTGGCAGGACACCCTGGTGTGCAACAGTGTGTTTTTATCATTGACACTATGAATGGCTAAGGGTGCTGACTTTGAAGTGTTTTTAAAACTATATAATGTGGGTTAATTGTTCTAATAAAGTGAAGACCACCAGTTTTAGTTACCAGTACTGTCTAATGGATACATATACTATATAAAGAATCTGCGTGGACACATGTTTGGCCTGTACCAGGACCCTAGTGGACCTTGGCCCTTGAAAAATGACGAAAATTATGTCACTAGACTGTAGCAGATATGCAAACCCCGAATAGCCCTTTCAACACCTGACTTTGCCTATTGCTATGCCAATTCCATAATTACTGTCCAAATGAGTGCACTAGTCATTTGCACCTATACAGGTGTGTCTATGGGTTGTCACATGCACAGGGAGATGACCAAATGTGCAGTGGGTTTCAGAATTAGCTGAAATATTTCAAACTGAACAAATAACTATATGGCAGATCTAGTGATCTGCAACAAAATTCTTGATGAAGGAACAAGTAGTTTTAAAATCAAGATCAAAGATTTTTATTGCCAATTCACTACATGTGCAGGACATACAGAAAAATCAAAATACTGTTTCTCTCTCACCTAATGTTGAATGCCCATACCATTTAAGAAAGTAAAATAGAATAAAAGTAGAATAAACAGAGTTTGAAAACTGAATTCAATAAGGATAAACTAGATGGTACAACCTAATAGGCTACGATGAAACTCAAGCCATGTGCAAACATTAAATAATTTACAACCAAGTTACTGTGAAAAAAGTACATAATGTATCCCTTACTACCTGTCCACTTTGATTTGCCTTGTCAAGCAAACCTGTCCTTAAATTTTTAACACGGATAACAGAATGCAGCTTTTACGGAATATTCCAACCAGCCTCTGGCTCACGGACAACAGTTTTTTACCCTGGGTCTTTTGTCAACTGTATTTCACCACTTTGTCCTTTTTTCCAATCAAACCACTTCCTAATATACGTGCATCACAACTGACCCACCAGCCCAAACTACAACATTAGCTTTAGGTCTGGGGCAAATTCACAGCCCCCAGAGATAGGAATGAGTGTTATTAGTACATAGTCATAAGCACAATGCATTGGTATTTTTATTAGATTATACAGTGGTGTTTTCTCTTGTTTAGCTAGTATTTAAATGTGTTATATAAAAATGTTTTCACAATCCACGGTGCTGGTGTTGGGGGGGGGGCGTGCCTGTCTGGCAGGTCCCATAGAGAGCTGCTGCTCCTCCAACTAAAATGTCCACATAACTTTTTTGTCAGTAAAAAGAGATAAAAATGTTCAGAGTGAGCTGTTGTATGTTTAAGAGCTCTTGGGATGGATTGCAGAAAACAAGAAAACAATTTTGTCAAAAAGACAAAATCAGCAGAAGTGCATGAGAGCACGTGACCAAGGCAGCTATCCACGGTGGCATCTCGGATTTATTAATCTGGACATGAATATTCCAAACCACATTAAAAATAACAAGGAGACAGTCAATCACAAATGTTACAAATGTGGAATCAGGTTGTCAGCAAAGATAAGCCAAAGTCCCAACCCTAGTCTGAGGTTGGTTTTCATTTTGGCACTGCCAATGTAGACTACTTCTATTTTAAATAAAACAAAAATACCCAGTTCACATGCTCATGAAACTAAAGATGGTGCTTTGCATTTAATATAGACAGGTTTAAGTCCTCCTGACAATGCTATAATGCAATGCACCTCTTCACTCTAGTCTCTACAGTGATCTTAAGTGAAAATTTTTATTACAGCTATGCTCAGCTTACAACAAGGTTAGTACCACAGTATGGCTAATTCATTGGGCTATGTAAGACAGACAGATGACAAAGAATTATCCCTTTAGTAAAGCAGCAAATAAACGCTGATACTGACACTGTTCCTTTTCTCTTCTCCCTACGCTCTGAAATTTTAAGTGTCTGTTTCCATCTGACCTTCTATCCACATACAGTATCTACTCCTTCACTGCGCACGCTTCTGCAGATCGTGGAGAGCTGTCTGTTGACGCATTGATGTTGGCCAATCACACACCATATATCCAAGGCGCAGGACCAGACTGGCCAATAAGAGAGCAGCATGGGGCGGGATGCGTCCAGCACAATCACACCTCTACATATAGAAAATCAGTGGTGGTGGAGAGCAGTAGCGCGACAGAACCGCAGGACAAGCAAAGGGCGATACAGACAGACACCCGAAGGCTGCGCGAGGAAGAGTGTCTGTAGCATTAATGCTGATATGAACGTGCCAATCTGACGTGCCATCTCCAGACACTGTCCCGTTCTCCAACAGGTCCACCGTAACCGCAGGCATGTCGACGGCAGACGGAGCTGATCAGCGAGAGGAAGGGGAGTACGGAAGGGCTGCAAAGCGGCTGAAAACGGAGGAGAGAGAGACAGAGGCGGAGGAGAGAGAGGAGGGAGAAGAAGAACTGGAGGAGGGGGAGGATTCGGACTCCGGCTCGCTGCCCGGCAGCGGAGAATCTAAGGCGGACAACCGGGCCCGGTGGAGCGGCAACGAATACGGAGCAGGACGGAGGGTAGGGAGAGAAACAAATTATATTTATCGATGCCCCTCGGCGCAGCGTCATAGACGGCCGCGTGCATGTGCGCGCGCCCGTTTACTGCTGTTGTCGTTCAGTCAGTCCTACCTGTCACCCACGAACACACACACACACACACAGTTTTTCAGTCCTGGTGAGGACTTTACATTGACTTGTACTCATTACAATGAGACTTAACCTCAACCATAATCACTACTTGTCGAACGCCGACCCTTCCCCTAACCTTACCTAACCTTACCTAACCTTACCTAACCTTACCTAACCTTACCTAACCTAAAGTTAAAGCTGCATTGACTAAGATTTAGTACATGGATAAATCAAGTAAAAATGGTCTAGGAGTTGTCTCCCTGCTATACTACCCTACTATACTACTAATTTGACGCAGATGTGGCTTTCTATCTTCTAGATGTATAACATAACTGTGTCCTCTCACATACGCATTTTAGCTAACATTTTATTTAGATTTTTAACTACAAATATAAATGATCATGGAACATTTTCAGTTAATGTAATGGTATAAAATTTATGTCCAACTTCTTATCTTTCTAGCCATATATCATGTTTGTCATTTATTTTAGATTTGCTCACAGGCGAAAGAAGAGAAATAATGCTGGAGATTTAGCCGTGAACTGATATTGTCCCTTCACGGACCTCTTATCTCTTTGCTGTAAACATCTGGCACACCTGGTTTTGATATTGTTTTATTGCATTTCCTTAATATATCCATGTTATTAACATGTTCTTGTCTTGGCCAAGTAAACATTAATGCTAAGACATGTTTGTTACCGTACATCCGTCCTTCACAATAAGATCCTAGAAAAAAGGCATCATCAAAGGGCAACTTCAGCATTCTTTTTGTGCTTTTTCATCAAAGTAACTTTGGTGTAATAATTAGACATACATTTTCCTGTATTTGGATGAAATTTCAAAGGGAGATCTTAGACATACAGTGGAGAAAATAATTATTTGATCCCCTGCTGATTTTGTAGGTTTGCCCACTTACAAAGAAATGAAGGGTCTATAATTTTTATCATAGGTTTATTCTAAAGGATAGAGACAGAATATCCACAAAAATTCCAAAAAAGGACATGATACAAATGTTATAAACTGCGTTGCATTTCAGTGAGTAAAATAAGTAAAACATGACTTAGTATTTGGTGGAGAAACCCTTGTTGCCAAGCACAGAGGTAAGATGTTTCTTCTAGCTGGTCACCAGGTTTGTGCACATCTCAGGAGGGATTTTGGTCCACTCTTTTTTACAGATCTTCTCTAAACTCCACGTTGAGCGGAACCAGTTGAGGTGGCTCGGGCACCTGTTTAGGATGCCCCCTGGACGCCTCCCCTGGAGAGGTATTCTGGGCATGTCCCTCCGGGAGAAGGCCTCGGGGCAGACCCAGGACACATTGGAGAGACTATGTCTCCTGGCTGGCCTGAGAACACCTTGGGGTTCCTCCTGAGGAGCTAGAGGAGGTGTATGGGGAGAGGAAAGTCTGGGAGGCTCTGCTCAGGCTACTGCCCCCCCGACCCGTTCCCTGATGAAGTGGATGAAGATGGATGGATGGATGGATAGATGGATGGATGGACTGGCTAGGCCACTCCATGACCTTAATGTGCTTGTTCTTGAGCCACACCTTTGTTGCCTTGGCGGTATGTTTTGGGTCATTGTCATGCTGGAAGAGCTATCTATGACCCATCTTCAGTGTCCTGGCTGAGGGAAGGAGGTTTTCATTCAAGATTTTACAATATATGGCCGCACTGCAGCAAAGTCAGCCTGTAACTTTAGCAGAGAAATAGCCCCAAAGCATAATGTTCCCACCTCTGTGTTTGACTGTAGGGCTAGTTTTCTTAGGGTCATATAGGGTCAGTATTTTTCTTCCTCCAAACATGGTGAGTCAAGTTGATGCCAAAGAGCTCAATTTTGGTCTCATCTGACCACAGCACTTTCTCCCAATCCTTCTATGAATCATTTAGATGTTCACTGGCAACTTCAGACGGGCCCGTAGATGTGCCTTCTTGAGGAGTGGGACCTTGCAGGTGCTGCAGGATTTCAGTCCATGGTGGCATACTGTTTTATCAATAATTTGTTTGGTGTCTGTGGTCGCAACTGCCTTGAGATCATTCAAAAGCATCTTCCGTGTAGTTCTGGGCTGATCCTTCACTTTTCTCATGATCATCCTTACGCATCTTATGCGGTGATAGAAGAAACACCTGCTGGCTTAGAAACTATAACAGCCCTTACCACAGCCTGCCTCCGCACAATTCGTGGCTGTAACTGAGGCATGTAAAATAGCCAAAAGAAAAACTGTAAACATCTACACCAGGGGTGCCCAATACATCGATCGCAATCGACCGGTTGATCGCAAAGGTAGTGTTGGTAGATTGCGTGCTATTCAAAAATAAATTAGATGTATCCAGCGTAAAACTCATGCCAAATGTTAACATGTGAATGGTCAGTGTGACGATTCACTGTGACAACCCCTAACGGGAAAAGCCGAAAGTGCCAATCATTCATATATAGTCTATCATCCATCCTCCCTATGGCATTTGCTACTTGATTGACCTGCAGGGCAGCCAGTCTGAGATCTTGTCTTTTCTGACACACGAGTCACCAAACATGCACAGTCAACAGCACGAGCTACTGCAAAACTCCAGTGAGCGAACCAACTTGTCAGCCTTCGAATTAATGTCTACTAAAGGGTATAAAATGAGTGGGGGGGCCGAATCAAGTAAGAAACCGAAAACGTACCGAAGACATTCCATGTGGAATGGGAGGACTTTTTTTCGTGACATTATATTCGAAATGCGTTTGCTTGATCTACCAATCTACTAGTCCGAAGGGAAATGTGGAGCGGCACTTTCAGACTGTTTATAAAAACTACGACACTCATTCATACATTTATTTTGTGTGTGTGTGTGTGTGTGTGTGTGTGTGTGTGCGCGCGTGCGCACGCATAGGTCAATCATTTTGACTTCGTCATTTGAAAAGTAGCTCGCAAGGCGAAAAAGTGTGGGCACCCCTGGTCTATGGTGTCCTTCAGGTGGGTCAACACCAGTCTTTCAAAGGACTTCATAACTACAGATGTCAGGGCGACAGGCCTGTAGTCATTCAGTCCACTGATGGAGGTTTTCTTGGGGACTGGAATGATAGTGGAGCGTTTGAAGAAGGACAGGACTTCACACAGCTCCAGTGACCTGTTGAAAATAAGTTTGAAGATGGGGGCCAGCTGATTGGCACATATTTTCAGGCAGGAGGGGATCACGCCATCTGGGCCTGTGCCTTTGCGATCTTTTCTTTTTTAAAGAGGCCACACACATCATTTTCACAGATTCGTTATTGGTGGGGGGCTGGAGGGAAGGGTGGTGATAGTTTTGGAGCACTTTCTTAAATTGACAGGACTAATATGGGCACCACATGAGCACATACCCAGTCTGTGGGAGCCAGAATTGTTGTTGGTTGGTAGGGGATCAAATACTTATTTTACTCACTGAAATGCAACTCAGTTTATAACATTTGTATCATGTACTTTGTTTGGGATTTTTTGTTGATATTCTGTCCCTATCCTTTAGAATAAACCTATGATAAAAATTATAGACCCTTCATTTCTTTGTGAGTGGGCAAACCTACAAAATCAGCAGGGGATCAAATAATTATTTTCCCCACTGTATAAAATTGAATTCTATTTACACTTTGGGGGCAATCACCAAAATAAATTCCCACAAAAAAACTGGAAAGTTCGTCGACTGGTTACGTGCATGTTGGGATTAAATTAGCTCACGCAGTCTGTGTGTGGACACAGTTCCTCTAAGTAGCATAACACAGCCTTATGCTGGTTTACTGTTTGCACATTGAGAGCCGATGTACCTGAGTCAAATTCCTCGTGTGTCCGTCACACCTGGCCAATAAAGCTGATTCTGATTCTTCTAGCTAGCTAATGTGTATATGTTGACATCATTAGCAAGTTAACATTAGCTTTTCAGTTTAAATTTTTTTTTGTATTGAATTACTCTGGTTGTAATTTGCAGTCATTCCAACTGACTGCAGCGTTAGTGTTTTGTTGTGCAGTTAGCAGAAACCAGCGTGTTTCCATGGATTAGAAAATGAAGTAATTTTGCTGAGTTTTGGTCCAGGCCACAGAGTTAGTTTATGTCATACATAACACAGTACTCCATGTAGCATTTTATTTAGATGTTAAAATTTACACCATCAACACAACAGAAACGTAGGGTGTTTGTTCAACTATTAAAGCATAATATAACTCATGGTTATGTCTGTCAAGAATGTGGTGGGAACATTAGTACTGCATCAATATTACTGGCAAAAACATCCTTTGTATAATTTGCTTGTGCTGCTGCTTTAGGTAGGAAAAATGATCTGTGCTGCTGCAGTGCCACTGACAACCATGGGCATTATGGGCTATATTCTGTACACGTTAATATGACTGCTGAGATGCCTGACTGCTACAATTGTCTCTGGCTGTTTCACAAACAGGGAAGGAGAAGCAAGGAGTAGAGGAGGGGTTTCCGTCTGAGTGTGTTTTGATTCTCACTCACTCTAGGGTAGAAAGTTAAATGGTGAAAATTAGCTAGAGCAGCTTTAACCTTAAAGTTGTCACCTTAAAATGAAATTATTTACCTGGCTGGTCCCCAGGATGAAGGCCAAGTCCTCACAATGTGAGTGTGTAGAACAGGTTTCAGTTCCCACAGTGGGAGTCACAAATAGGTTGTGGGCTAGAAAATTCAGGCTACATTTTTAATAACAGAAAGCATGGAACTATTAGTGCATTAAAAGTAAAATGACTATCTGATTTGAAACCATTTATACACTGGTAAATGGACAAATATTTGTCCCATAGGGCTCTGAGAGGTAATGTCACACATTGGCTGAAAATGAAAACACTGAAAAAAGGAGGAGGGGTGTATGATGGTTATCCACCCATGTCATGTATGAGGTGGTAACTACTGACATTTCTACACCT